CTATTATCTAATCTAAGTCTCCCCCCTGCCATCTCCGTGTATCGGCTCAGCAGGTAGCTTGTGGCTGCTGGCCCTGCCCATGACAGCAGGGCTGACAGTAGATGATCTTTAAGGTCCCTTCCAACCCAAACCCATTCCATGTCTCTACTGTCATATCTCCCTCTCTCCACAGCTACTGGGCTGATGATCGGCTGCCTGATCTACCCAGACGGCTGGGACTCAGCCGAGGTGAAGCGCATGTGTGGGGGTAAGACGGACAAGTACACGCTGGGTGCCTGCACCGTGCGCTGGGCCTACATCCTCTGCATCATTGGCATCCTCGATGCTCTCATCCTCTCCTTCCTGGGATTTGTCTTGGGAAACCGGCAGGACAACCTCCTCCCATCCGATTTTAAAGTGGAAAATAAAGGTAAAGGCAGCTCTGAGCCCCTGTCCTGTTGTTGAGGGTTTTGACCCCAGCTGTTTGGGAGGACGGTGGCTTCCTTCAGTGGGAGAAGTGGGATTGCTTTAATGGGCATCCTGCTGTGTCCTGCACCATAGCGAGCCAGCAGCAGGCTGAAAAATCAGTGGAGCACAGGCAGGAACCCACATTGAGCTGAGGAGCTTCTCCCTATCCCATTTTAAATTGGTTTTATTCCTTTTTAAAAGCAAACCTTGCAAAATACACCCACACCTTCAGTTTTATACCACAACCCATTAACATTGTCATTCTCTTTTTTGTTTTACAGAAGAGGGAAACCACTGACAGAGCTGATCACCATGTAAGTGATCCCCCCGGGGTGATTTCTGCTGTTTCTCCTCATCACATATAACATTCCTATTGTATTTTGATTACTAAAGGATTGACAACTCTGTATTTTGGGCTATGGTCAGACTGGGTTTAGTTGTGGTTAAAGGGGAAGTAATCTTTGCTTCGCCTTCAGGGAAAACATAAATCCTTGCCAAGTGACTAAAAAAAGAGCTTACAGTTTGAAGTCATTCTGCACTGGGTGACAAGTGACCTTCCATCTGTTCTCAGGGACACCCAGAGCTCGACTTCCATCAGCCGTTCTCTTTAAAGTGACTTTTCCAAGAGCTTTAAACTTACTGCTGTGGATTTTCTACAATTGCTCTTCCCGCCTGGCTCAGAGCTCCCCCAGAGCTGGTTTGACAGATGAGCCCAAACTGGACTCAGGTTTTAGCTTCTGGAGTCCATCAGCAAACCAGGGAAGAGGGAAGGGATAGCGATTTGCTGCTGCTTGAGGTTTGTACGCCTTCTTTCAAGGAAATTAATTCCAAATTAAAAAGAACCTAAGTGGTTTGGATTTCGTGCATCTCCTTGGAGCAAGGGAAATCATCTGCCAGGTTGTACTTGAAAAGACCCAGCCAATTCCTAGAAAAGCTTTGGATCAGTTTCCCACTCTGGACAGCAATAACCACACGTCACCTCTTAAAGAGAGCACTTCTGGGGGAAAAACCCAGTGGGGCCACAGACCTGTGGATGGTGCCAGGCAGGGGCAACACACAGCAGTACCCAAGTAATCTGATTTAGCCACATTTCTCACCACATCCACCACCTGCACCAGCCTTTGGCCTAGAGAACATTACCCCATACAGTTCTTACCTAGTCAGAACCCACAGCAGCCTAGACTGTGATTTTTGTTTCTACTTGCTTTCATTTGTTGGTTCCTGCAGCAGTCAGTTCAATTCAGTTCTGACAAACACCTTCCAGTTTTATCCTTCCCTCTTAAAGAGTTTGGGATGGTTGTGTTGAGAATCTTTGCTAGGAAGAAAAGAGATAGAGAGACTTGGAGAAAAACATATTTGAAAATGGGAATATTCCAGCAGAGCTGCTCTGCTGTTGATTATTCTCCTCCTTTTAAAATGGATCATAAATACCAGCAACAAAATCTTCACCTGCACCCTCTCCCAGTGTCTCATTCTGGATATCAAAACTAAGTGCTTGCTAGCAAAGAAACTGCAATCATTGGGCCATGTCTCACAAAGAACACTTTCAGAGGGAACATAGGAGGAATAGGGCTCAGTCATTAAATAATCTGTTTATTGTTACGGCTTTCACAAGGAAAAAAATAAGACAAAGCACCCAAGTAGAAAGAATAAAAATGTATTTTCCTTCAGGTTTTAGACTGACACAGCAAGTACAAATCCTTTAGTGTGAGCACTTTATGGCAATTTGGAGATTTAATAAACCCCAAGCAAATGAGCACACAGTACAAGACTGAATCCTGACAGTGGCTTCTGCAGGTCTCCAACTCACAAGCTGGCTCTAGCCTTGGCCATCATGGGAAGAACCTGCCTCCTCCAGTCTGGTGTGGCAGAGGGAAGAAGCTCTTGGAGTGGAACGTATAGATCCCTTCTAAGAAAAGATCATTAATGGGCCAGTCTCAAGTGCACAGGACCAGGTGAGCTTTCCAGACAACAGAAATTGTTTGCCCTGTCAATGTATCTTCACAGTATGCAGAGAGCAGGTATTTTTGGAACCCAGTCCTGTCTGCAGTCCTGTAACAGGTATGGAAGCAACACGCAACTGGAGAATTCCACATGAAAGGGGAAAAGTCAAATCAGCAGGTTAAAACTCTTTTGGTATATGACCTTCCTTTAATTTTAGATTATATGCATAGAGAACCTGATCTACCCCTAAAAGAACATGCAGCATGATTTGCATTATAAGCCCAATCAGGCACTGGACCAGAGAAACTCTTTTCAAGTGGATTAAATGACACCAAGGTTTATGAATCAATGATCTTTACAAACCAGATTCCCAAACATTCATACGGAAGCGACACATTAACACTGGTCTGGGCAGCTTTGGCAGTGTAATCCTCTTGGATTGCATCTACGTGGCCTCCAGCATTTTCCTGCTGTGACTTCTGGCCTCTGAGAGCCACCACAAATCCAAAGGCCTGTTTGGTCCACGGTAAGGAAGTGCCTCTGAAGTCTCAATGCTGCCAAATCTTGCTTTAGAGTAGGACACACTGAATCTGTAATAGGATCAGCAAGTCTAGAAGAAGCCATCATAAAACTATCAAATGCCACAGTGATTTAATTAAAATTAACCCATTTCCTCATTATATCCAACCCCCTCTGAGCTTATATAGAAACCCCACAGAATATTTGGACTTGGGGTAACTCTAGGAACAGCTTCTAATCCAGTTCTAACTGAAAGAAGTCCACTTTTGTTACCTCTCCTTGTGCTAATGGCCTAGAAAATAAAAGGCAGTCCCATCCTGGGAAGTTCTTTCTGAAGGCCAGCACCTGAAGCAAGCGAAAGGAAAAAAAAAAGGGTCTTTACATTGGGCCTTCAAGTGTTGATTTGGAAAGTCAAGGGCTATAGTGTGGCTGTCATACAGATGCCACTCAGGAGAAAAAACTGAATGGTCAGAAATTCAAAGCTAGAGTAAACTGCCTCAGTGGAAGCCAATTGCTCATGGATACAGCAGCTGCCTCAAGCAAGGCAAAAAAGTGCCACTAAGGGATTAAAAAGAAAACACCAACAAAAAAACCTTACAGCTCACTAAAATGCTTCAAGAGTTGCCTGCAACAAGGCTCGCTCTCTGCAGCCAGAGGGTGCATCCATCTGTATGCTGAGGATTGTGCGTGGAGTCAGTTCCAGCTTTCACTTGCCACCTTTGAGGCACAGGCATTGCAGTAGAAAATGTCACCAACTTCAGAAACTACTCTATGCGGGCACAGGGAAGGATAAAGTAAAGGAGCGGGACACTTTGGAGGAAGAACTAAAGGATCCTAAAACCTAGGTTTAAATAGCTCTTTTCAAAAGGTTTAAGCAGCTAGAACTAAAGTTATGTGAGTGGAAAGCAATGAACGCAGCAGGCACCTCGAAAACGATGGAGGATTTCACGGCCTTTGCTCTACAAGGAACTAATGCCACCTTGGTGCCATCTGTTACTTCTCACCCCATTTCTGCATCAACAGCGGGAAATCGACTCCTGAGTCAGGGAGATAAGGAGGTGTTCAGATCTTCACACCCTCCCTCATATGAAGAGAGTTGAAATTTAGCTAAGAAAGCTTATCTGAGCACAGCTGAGCTCACATCTGTAACAAACAGCATGTAACAGTGAGAAGACTTACAGGGAAAACTTCATATTCTACTCAGTCTTTGGTGAAGCCCAATCAAGGCAAAACAGACGATGCCCGCTGGCTGAGGAGAGTCCCCATGGAGTCACACAAGCAACGTCAGCAGAACAGGTTAGATTTATCTAAAATCTTAGAAGCCTTGAAGGAAGAACTTCACACTGAAAATGAACAAGGATAAAGGAAGATCTGGGGAAGGGGCAGCTGGGTGCATGTAGGCTATGCTGTAAACCAGAGTGTAGTGCTGTGGCATTGGGTTGAAGCTTCTAGGAGTTAAGCCAGGGGTGCCTGAGACACTCTGCTGCTGTAGCTCGTTTCTCTGGGATCAGCTCCAACATAGGTAATAAGAAGTCTGTGAATGCAGCTGCCTCGTCTTGGGACCACTCGTATTTTTCCACCAAGACTTCAAAAAGGCCCCAGGGCTTCAGTTTGGTGATGTGCTTCAGGTCACCTGAAAACCAAGACAGACAGGTGAAGTGTGAGACATGGGAACAGAGCAGCTGAACAAAATAGGCCAAACAGCTGAACAAGACAGACTGAGCTCAGAAACTGTTCTAATAGTCAGGCACAGGGAGCATAAAATGGTAAGGCATGCTGAAGGAAGAAAAATCATACTAAACCCCCTTTTCTATCCACTTTTGAAGACTGTTCTATAAATAAACTTCCTTTAGGGCTTCTTTTTTTTTTCCCTCCTGCTATTTCTAGTCCAGTATCAGCAAATATTAACTTCATTAAATCATCAATTACACCAGTTGACATGACAGGTAACTGTGCCAAAGACTGTAGAATATATGAAACACATAGAATCACAGAATGGTTTGGGTTGGAAAAGACCTTAAGATCATCCAGTTCCATCCCCCTGCCGTGGGCAGGGACACCTCATGCTAGACCATGTTGCCCAAGGGTCCGTCCAATACATGCAGCACTGTCTGAGGAAGCAATACACTACTGACAAGAAAGGGTTTGTTTTGTTTAATAAAAGTATTATACCTTCTTCTTGAGGCTCAATATACTTCTGGGGTACTCAGGGCTTTATGATAATGGTATAATGCGTCCTGAGCAACAGGGCACAGGATGCAAGGCACTATTTGGGTGTCTGGCATGCTAGAAATGGAATACAGTTGTCTAAAGAAGGCTTCAGAGGTAAGTCAACACCTCCAGCTGACAAAGATCAGCCAAATGAAGCCAAATCAAGTCTGAAGAGGTATTTACAGTACTGTTTCTCTACCTGCTGCATTTGATCAACATCAAGATGTCAGGTACTAGGATGTAGGATACTTTGAGCAGTCAGAGAAGAATGCCTTATATTTAGCTGTAGTTTTACTTATAAAGCCTTTCATAAAAGAAAGGAAAGGCTTAAAGAGGAATCTTTGGAAGCATCTGTTGTAAACTGGGATTTCCAGCGAGGCACTTACGTATTTGGGGGAGAGGATGAGGGATAAGTGACATTTGCTTTGTTTCCTTTTACCTTTTTTGGTGAAAAACTCCTTGGAATATTTTCCTGCCAAAATGAGCTTGCGAGGTATCTTCCCCAGAAGTTCTATGATCAATGCAATGTGATCTGCAGTTTTTCAAGAGAAAAGACAATGAGATAAATCCACCCAAGACATCTCTATGCCCCAGTTTCCTTCTCTGTGATAAAAGGACAAAGACATCATCTCCCATAAAAATCACTTTGAGATCCGCTTTGAAATCAGATTACACTAAGCAATGACAAAGTCAAGGGGGAAGGGGAATAAAAAGGAAAGGAGAATTTGAGGTATGATAGTTTGAGAAGCGTGGTAAGAGAATAAGCAGTAGGAGGAATGGGAAACACCAGAACAAGAACATGGACTTTACTGCACGGTGTGTTACCACAGAGCACAGTTGGATCTTTTTGCAAGGAGGCTTTGCATTGCTAACTCACAAGAGAAGGCTCATTCTGAGGAAGCAACCATTGTATTTCATGTCTCATTTTAAAAAGAAAAGCCTTTGACAAACATACCTTCATCCCGTGAGTAATCCTCTCCGGAATGAGGCTCAAACAGATAGTCTCCTGTTGCTAATTCAAAGGCCTGAACAAAGAGAAAGGAGCATGTTAAATCACTTCAATACACCTCACACAGGCAGATGTGCTGCAGGAAAACCTGCAGAATTCTGGTACACTATTATCATCTTAAGATGTGCAATTACTTTGCAACACTTTGAACTACTGCATTAAAAACCATCCTAGGTATAGCTAGGATAAAATCTGCATCAAGTAATCCTGTGTGGAATGGTACAAAGGCATTTCACACACTCAGCCTGTTTGCCTCAACAGCATTTTGCAAAATAATGCAATGTCCAAACTCTAGATTGGTGTTTTTTTGTTTTTGGGGTTTTTTTTAACAAAGTTTCTCCTCTGTCCCCAAATTTTGGATAGAAAAAGACCTTTTTCAAACAGTTAATCTCTGAATATTTTTCTGTAGATACCAAACCATGTTTTCAATGAGAAAAACATTTGCATTCATTTCAACTCACCATTCCTAAATTCCAGGACAGAACCCCTGACCTGTATTCTTAAGTTTTCTTTACAGACTGGTGTTGTCAAACTATTCAATCAGGCACTTGGAATAACCACTGCGTAATTCTGGCCACACGTTCTGCAGAGTCAACACAACCCTATCACATACTTTTCTACACATTCATCCAAGACAGTGAAAATTATTTCACTCGCTATTTTCCAAGCTTAAAATATAAAAACCAAGCTTGGATTTGCAGAAGAAACAGAATGAAGACACCAGAGGCACACGCAGCAACTGGCTAGACTGATTTGGTTTTTTAATTACCATATTCCACATTTGCCAGCTACTGCAGGAACAGCTTCAGCCTCATCTCAGCATTACTCAGATTATACAATTATTCCAAACACGCAGAGGATGATTAAAATATGAAGTTTTTGCCATTCATTACAATGAAATATGCAGAAGATAATTAAAATATGAAATTGTATTGAAGACATCTGTGAAACAGTGCTGGATGCAGCAGAAAGGCTCTTGTCTTCAGAACTGCATAGTTGCCTTGTTTTTCCAGTCATCTTCGAAATCTGCTGGTGCTGTAGAACAAAACTAACTTTTAAAAAGGAAAGCCACACATGGCAAAGAAAATAAAGAAACCACTCTGGTATGGAAACATGGTAGTCAGCAAGTCTGGAAGTTGGCTTAACACCTGGGAGGGGTTTTTGTCAGGCTTGGTTAGTAACTCAGCAGCGCAGAGCACACACGAGCTGCCCCGTGTGCTCCATGGAAGCAGTTAGAAATCCCCTAGTGACAGCACTCACCATACATGCTGTGCTCCAGATGTCAGCAGGGGTGTTATACCCTGATCCTATCAACACCTCCAAGGATCGGTACTGTCTTGTCTGGATGTCTTCAGTGAAGTGCTTGTGCTAAACAGAAGAAATGTTTTACTGAACACTTGTGAGACTTTACAAGAGGAGAATCAACAACTTGGAAGGCCAGAGCAGATCAAAGCTCATTCCCATGATATTTCATCTGAATTTTACATCCTCATTCAATATTTATCTTCCCACAGATATTGTTCAAATGCTCTACATGAGACACTCGAGTCCAGCAAACCACAAAAACAGCATAAAGGAAGACTGAGAAGCTGCACCCTCTCCTATGCGAGCATGACTCAGCTACCTTGAAGCAAAGCAACACCAATGTAAGAGACCTCCCTGCCACATACTACAAGCCTGACATGCAGTTCTGAGTTTAAGACTCATCTCTCCCATACCATCTGAAGTATTTTGCCATTTAAGCAGCCAAGAAAAATAGACATTTCTTCTACATGAAATGTCAAACATCTAAAAGCAGAACAGCACAAGCAAAGAATAAAACTATGAGTCTCTTTCATGTGCTGATGAATCGACTGAAGAGGTTTGACAAGCTAATGAACTACAGCACCAGCACATCAGAGGGATTGTTTGCAACTTTCTCATTCTCCAAGAGCACAACAGACTCCTTCAGAAGTTTCACATATGCAGATTTCTACACACTGTATGTGTCACTGGTCACAGGTGTATCACAAGTCATCTAACGACCACTGTGGCACCCAGAACAGAGGCTGAAATGATTTGTTAAAGGATCATTTCTTTCTTTGCATCCCTGCTCACGTCTTTTTCCCCCCAAAGCAGTTTCAAACTGTCACCACCTTCACAAGCAGGTCTAAGATAGATCTATTTTGGAGATTCTTTTCCATCTTGGCATCCTGTGAATGAATTATCAGGTTTAAACAATCAGTGTGAAAAGATTGAACACTTACCACCCAGCAGGCATTTCCTAGGTCAGCTATCTTCACTTTGAGCTTATCTGCATTCTTGGGCTCAAGAGGATTAAGAAGGAAATTCCCAGCAGTTGATTTTCCTAGAGGCAACACGTACAACAGCTGATTAAAGCTACATGGACAGTGTCACCATCTGCCACCCAAATCCTACTGCACTCCCCCTGCACAAGAAAGGTTTCACAGATCAGAACTTTCCCCTCTCCAAAGCCTGGGTATAAAAATCAGCATCAGCCTGCACTGTGAACAGCTTCCACTAATCAGGACCCAAGGGGTGTTAGAAAGCAGGAGGACAAGTAAGTGTATGGAAGGGGGACTGTTTCCAAGGCTCTCTGCACAGCCTTAAAAAGTCTGTTTCTAGACAGGACAGATTTAAATAAGGGCATTGCCAGAAACAAAACAACCCTCTCAACCCTTAAGTCTTCCTAAATCTTTGAAGGAGGAGACTATTAGAGCATCCTTCTGACGTACCCATCACTCACTGTTGCAATACAGTTTCAAGAGTTAAAAACCTGGGAAAACCATAGTGACACAGCAGGGAGCAAAAATATGACATCAGTAAATTACATCCAGCTGAAGCTCTAAAACTTCGGAGAGCTGTGAAAAGCAAAAGACACCTTATCTTATCTAGCAGGGGCTTCCAACCAAATGCAGCTCAAGTTTAAGTTTCACTTGCTACTTTTCATCCCTGCAATTTTCCAGCAGTAATCTGCCACTAAAAGGCTACAGGAAGGTTTTCAGGAAGAACTGTAGATGTTAGTTTCTCCTTCCTTCTCCAAACAGATACACTGTGCCTGATCTTGACTCAAAGTGCAAAAGGACAAGTTTAGCGATACATTCAAGTTTTTTTTAACACAGACACTCCTGGAACGTGTTTCAGCTGCTGCTCACCACTGTGTGGCTTATGCTCTCCTAAACCTCCAAGACTTACTGTTTTTTCCCCACAGAAACAAATCATGTTTAAATGAAAGCATTAAAGAGGGTTTTTTCCCTATCCTGTATAAGCTTTGTTTCAGTCAGGCTGCATTTCCAGTTCTGGGAGAGCATTTACTTATATTAAGTAACTGAGAGGAGTTACCTGTGCTCCATGTTCAGAACTATCAGAACACACTGAACAGTATTTATCCCATAATTTAACAGCCAGTGACTACTTGTAGACTTACATTTCTAACAATGAAAATCATGTAAGCAACACCTGATACAAAGGAGAAAACATTCCTATACTGAAAAACAAATGTACAGGTATTTAAAAGTGGGAATACTTATGCATTCAATAGTCAAAACTACAACTGGAAGCTACAAACAATGAATGTCTCAGAGTAGGACTGTCACGTTAATTACTCCTGGCAGGAAAACACTCAAACAGATGGTTCTGATCACTTCAAATCTAGATTAGATGTTAGGCAGAAGTTCTTCCCTGTGAGGATGCTGAGGCACTGGCACAGGGTGCCCAGAGAAGCTGTGGCTGCCCCATCCCTGGCAGTGTTCAAGGCCAGGTTGGACACAGGGGCTTGGAGCAACCTGCTCTAGTGGAAGGTGTCCCTGCCTGTGGCAGGGGGTTGGAACTGGATGAGCTTTAGGGTCCCTTCCAACACAAACCATTCAGTCTACAAAAAAAGAGGTTCCTATTAATACCGTGGAGTGTTGGAACACAACTCTCCCGCACCAAGGAGAAAGAAGCCCGTTCTTACAGGATTCCTCTTATACCTTTGTTGTCTGATGGGTTATTATTCTCATTCTCATCCTCTGAAGGTATTTCTTTTTGGATGCTTTCTTGAAAATGGTTAATCTCCTGCTCCTCTTCATTGGATGTGGGCTGACACACCATGGAATCTTCTGAAGCTAAGGGTACAAAGGAGTCCGACATTGCTTCTTGAGGCCTGTTCTCCAAGTCACCATTACGCTGACTGTAATCACAACTACGCAAGTTCTCCTTCTGTGTAAGAGGGTGATGACCACAGTCATTGGCATTATGAAGGTCATCCTCAAGTCGCACCGATCCTTGATTGCCAGGGTCTGGGAAGTCCGTCATTTGTACCACTCCATTGCAGTTTATTTCTGTTAAGCATTTTTCCACACTGCTTTCCATTAGAACAGATTGCTCCTGTACGACTTCAGCTGCAAGAGTGGAAAAGAAGACCATAGTCTAAACAAAGTAATAGCTGAAGCTGTTCAAGGGAGCTCTGCTCTCAGAATTAGGAGGCTCTCAACATGTAATTTATGAATTCAGTTTGTAATAGGAAATGTCCTAGCCTCTTTAGGTGGGCATAATGCAATGGGAACAGGTTCAGTAACAGCCACCTCTACTAAAGGTGCTCACTCATGCCAGCACAAATGAAAGGACAACACTGTGCTACTTCAGCAATACTTTATGTCCATACCTGTCTTTTTGCTGGCATTTTCCTCTGGTGGGCTAACTTTTATGAGCATTTCCAGAGGGCTCTGAGCTTCTTCCTCTTCTTCAGGCTGTGCCTGTCCAGGGCTTGCTTCCTTCTCCATTTCTTCTATCTCTTGCATTCGCTTCTCTAACAACTCAGCCTGTCGTTTCTGCTTCTTTTTCAACTTCTTTTTCTTATTCTTTGACATTTTGTCAGCCTACGTGGAAGCAAGCAGAGAAATTGGACTGAACATTTTGTAGTTCAGCAAATCTAAAATGCATCAAGTTTAATTTATTTTAGAGCTGAGGAAACAGTCTGGGATGAGAACTCTGGAGACAGTTCTTCCCAATAAAAAGCACACATTAAGGTTTTTGGAACAGTTGTCTATGGCTCTTAGTGCATTTCTGTCCTAACCTGAGAAACCTGTAGTATTCTCCAGATGAGGAATTACAGACTCTACAGAATAAAGTCACCTTCACAACAGACCCTGAGCCCACCAAAAAGACTACTCGTTCTGGTGCTACATGAGCTACTACTACTTACATCTCCAAGACCACACTGACTGCTGCCTGTGTCTGACAAACACAAATCGTTTTTCCTTCTGATACAAGGTTGCTTTCCCTTAATGTTGACTGCATTATGAAAGGATGCAGTAGATACTCTAAGCACATGGATACTTACACGTGAAAATTATTACACTTACTGGTTTTGGTTGTGGTGCAGTGCTCACTGAAAGGGAAAGGAAGAGCAGTAAATTGGTATGTTTGTAGTAAAAAACTGCAACTGTATTCTTATCTTAAGGGTAAGCTTTCTGCTATGTTTGGTAACATTTAAAAGATACCAAAAGATGTTACTTGGAAGGCTCATTTTTCTACAGAAGTACAAGAAGAATAAAAAGAGAATAACATTAAATGCGTAATTAGAATTCCAGAGAATAGACTTGCTTGACTGATATCAAAGACTTAAAGTTCCTGTCATGCAGGTTCATTTACTGCATCTATTATGCATTTTACTAAAAAGAAAATGCAAACCAAAGCATTAAAATAACAAAGTTCATGGAGCTTCCCTAAGCTATGCTACGATGGGCTCAGCTAAATGTTGGGGTTGTAAGATTATGACTAACAGAGCCTTCCAACACACTGCAGTTGTTCTTTGCAACTAGTCACAGGTACAATGGATATCACGAAGAGAAACACAAGGAACTGGGATTGAGAGGAAGGTGCTCTCAGATCTTTAGGGATGTTGCATGTTAAGGAAGCCATTTCTGTTACAAGTTTTCTAGACTTCTGCAAACTAACACCAGGTAAATCATCTTTTTTCCACCGTACTCAGCAGGTTTCCTCTAGTGTGAGTAGTGATAATTTGGGGATTTGTGTGGGAAATAGTACCAATTTTCAGGAAAAAAAGTTACCTGCAGAGCCAGATGGTGGGGGAGCCCCAGATCTCTGCCACTCTGTTGCTTCTGCAGCCAGCCTACGGATGTACTGGTCGTTCACACACAGAAGAATGTTCTCAGGTTTAATGTCAGTGTGAATGATTCGACACTTTGTGTGCAAGTAATCCAGACCCTGAAGAACCTGCAGAGGAGGAAACTGATCCTTAGAAAAAGCAAAGAATGAGCAAATGCAGAATGAAGGGAAAATGCAAAATTGCCTTGGATGACCACTGAAGCTGAAGGGCTTCTGTAAGAATAGTCCAGATTAGAGCTAATGTGATCAGTGGTTACTACTCAGTTCCAGGAAATAGATTCACACACAGATTTTAGCTATGAACTTAAACTACTGTCTCTTAATCACAATTGAAAATCTAATCTTAACACCCTACAATAAAATCATGTTTTCCTCCTCCCCACCACTTCACATGTAGGTGTGTGGTACTTCTTAGGCAACCATCCAGTATGAAGAACAGGTTTCTCTTGCTCTTCCCATCATTAAGCAGCATATTTACTGAGACAGAGTTTAAAAGAAAAATACTTGCACTTACAAGGAATAACCAGGGTAACAAAGGTTAAAAGCAAAGCTGGCCTCCCACTGTGGTTCAAGTGTCGGAGAATAAGTATCTGTAGCAGGTTTTCGCAATAGAGAAAGGAAATATTAACCCAAGAATGACTTTTTTGCATTAGAGAGATACCAATGATTTTTGTTTTCTTTGCTCTGAGAAGGATTAGTGAAAGAGTTCTCACTGGGTTGAGTGGAACAGTGCAGTCAGAACTGAACTGGAACTGACCTGTTTGATGATCTTTTTGACACAAGGGAGTGGAAGCCCCTGGTAATTTGACTTGATGATCCATTTCAGAAGATGATGCCCTAGGACTTCAAACACCATACAGATATCTGGAGCTCGGTCAAGGAAAAAGATGGATATCCTGAACCAAGGAGCCCTGAAGTCCCAGGACTGAGGATCAAAAGAAATCCATACCAGTTAAATGCTTTGTATTAAAGAACTCTCATCCTTCTGACACAAGCTGCCTTCCTTAACAGTACCATCCTGTGCTACACATCAGTGTTGTTACCTAAAGCACAGAGGGATGGAGATGGTTAGGACAACGGCCCTAACACAGCAGCAGCAATCTCCTGCTTTGAGTGAAAGCCAGTTACACAAGCAAGAGTGCATTAGTAGCTCCTGCTAGTATTGAGACAGCTTCCAGCCAACAGCGTACATTTTGGAACAACCTAGGCTCCTGCCTCAGGCGAAGCTTTATGCCAGTTCATTCTGTACCAGCACTACCTCAAAAGATAATAAAATTTGCATTTCATAAGTTTCCTTTGGAACGTTCTCCACCCTCCCTTGCCTCTTTGCAAGCAAAACAAACTTTTGACAAGCCTCGACTTCAGCAATATTTACATTATCTGCCTTTTGCCTGTAAGTTCTGAACAGCTACAGTCACTCCAGTGACATCTTATTGTGCCTTTGCTTTAGAAGCCAAACTTCCAGGAGTTTATTAGGCTGCTTTTCTTCTACACTGGCAGAAAGTGTTTCACAAGAGTGAAATAAATACAAGATGAACTCAACTTTTACTTGATGTTAAATACCAGAAAAAAAGTCAATAGAGGAAATACATTATGGGGCTACTATTTTCTAGAAGTGTTAGAAGGTTTAAAGCCTATAGCTCAATGAAATCAAATTCAAGGTAAAGTGGAAACAAGCACAAAAGCCCAACTTTCCTATTTTAAGGGTTCATTACTGGGACCTGCCATGAATCACTGCCCATGAGAAGCCTGTTCACAGAACTAGAGGGGATTTTCAGAGCAATACACTTTAAACCTCCTAACAATTTTGATGAAGTCCAAGGTAAGATGCTTTCATAACTAGAAACCCACCTTATTATCAAGTTACAGCCTGCATGTGTTTGCTGGTTTTACTTACTAATCTTAGCATTTTGTAGTGGTTTATTTCATTAAGGGGTTATTACCAGGCTACTTGTGAAACTGAGGGGTGCTGATAGAAGGGCTTTTCCCACAGAGGTACCTTGGACACTGAGCGATTCAGTCCTGAATCAGAAAGCAGAAGCAGCCACCCTCATGTTAAAATGATCTCTCCTGTTAAAAGCGTGACTAAGCAGTACAGTCTCCACCTCTTGCACATATTATGTCAGGCTGAATGATCCTTCTCGAGCTGAGCAGGCAGTTCTGAGGCAGGTAATTCGACAGCAGGTATCCTTGGGCACTGAAAGGGCTGCCTGGGCATTGCTCAGCAGCCTGATGTGACAGTTAGTTACCCAGAGAACTCCTATCTTTATGCAATTCTTTGTCTTTGTTCCTCAAAAGGATACGAGAACCATTAACTCCTGAAATCTTGAAGTCATCTAATAACTGAACAACTCTCTCTTTACTTGGATCATTTGGATCACTGTTGCGGACCTGCAGAGAAAATAAAAAAGGTTTGTGTTTCTTGAGATAATTACCAGGCAAGAACATATCTTGAAGTCAGATCAGCTGCATTACTGTTAGGTTCCTCTCCAAATTCTCTGCAGCTATATCATCCAGAATCAAACATGATAAATGTGAACTCCCCCAAATTAATTAAAAAATAAAATAAAAATAATAAAACATTAGAACCCCACTCTTGAACACTCACCGATTTTAGCAACTTGATTTCATCCAGTGCTGTTTCTGTGTAGTGCTCTGCACTCTTCACCACCTTCATTGCCACAAATCTCCTCCCTCTACACACACACACAGAGTAAGTAAATTGGAGACTGTTAACACTCAAAGAACTTAATTCTCCAGGGTTATACTAATTTTTTTGCATATAAGAGAGCTACTTATTTAAAGCATCATGGAAAAATAAGGTTTAAGCACTCATGAAGATTGTCTTTGTGTCTTTTTTAATAGTCATTTCTCATAAAATAACAGGTCAGAGACTGCCAAGCACACAAGCAGTCTTTCCACATACATGGTTTGTTCTGTTAATTCCCTCCTGCACACTTGCCTGCACAATATAAAAGGAAACTCTTGTGTTAGAATGTGCATTCCCACCAGCTACAACAGAAAGACTTACTGGATGTCCCAAGCTAGCCACACAGTGGAGAAGTGGCCCCATCCAAGCTTCCGAATCACATGGTATCGTCCATTGAAGAGATCTCCTATTTTCACCAGGTGATAACCACCTAGACAAAACAATGGGAATGTTATATGAAGGGACCTCACAAGCACTGAAGAGCAGGTCTGTGGAACAAGCATCACAACCTCAGGAAGACTTGATGTGTTTTACTTTTTAAATCATATAAACAAATGCAAATATTTCTTTAACTGGATCTCACTGGAATAAATATAAAGCATGTCAGAGAAAGAGCTGTCAACAGCCCTCTAGTTGACTGAAAAGCTTTAATATAATTGAACCAGAATGACTGAGTTTTCCTCCTTTTTTAATGTAGGTCATCGCTGCAGCACCACAAAAGAGTATTTCTTCAGAAAGCATCTGAAGTCTGCTGGGCTGGGCACCTTTGGAAAGCACTGCTTCTGATGTTCAGTAGCAGAATCTTACAGCTGAATACCAGCAGTGCTCTGTCCTCGTAACATGAAAGAGAACTGAACTCAAGACCCCAGTGGAGTTCCCCCTGCAACTGCTTTCCTGACTGAAAGGCACTTTGACATTTAACATGACTGCAAACAGGAAAGTCTCCTCCCTGTCCCCCCAGTATTTCTCAAGCTGCTGACTATGCAGGAGGATTCCATGACAGAAGCAAAGACACAAAGACATAACGGAATCTACAGAAAACAGAATGCAGAGGATAAACTGTGACTGTTAAGGTGTAAATTTTTGCCAGAACCTGGAATTACACCCGATTCCAGGCACATACTATTCAATTGTGGTGAGCAAGTACCACCCATGAAACATGTGCTTTGACAGGAAGATTTGCCTCTCTTGATTGACTGGTTCACAAACAAGATGCAGAATTACTACCCATTACTTCATCAGCTCCAGCAGCAGAAGTCCCTTTTCTTCACCTGAAGATTTCAGTTACAACAGTGACAGCTGTACTGACTGCAGTCACACAATGGCTTTTTCTTCTTCCCACTTGCTTTACAACTAACAAAATCCCACAAATACTTGGGTAGCACGCTAAAAGTAATACAAATGCTTTGAAGTAAAGCACTGAAGAAGAAGAAACATTGCAATTCAAGTTCCTTGTGCTATTCTACTTTGCATTTTTTATACACGTATATGGCATTTGTTACATGCTTCTCCCTGTCTTTGTATTTAAAAAGTATCACAGAAGTAGTCTTTCAAAGCACTTAGAGGTAGGGGCACATATTCAAGTGTCTAGTAACTGATGAGTTGAATTTGTCTGATCAGTGTTCTGACATTTTTTAAAGTATTTGCTATGTTAAAACCAGCCTGACCCTTTTGATATAGAATTATATACTGTGATATTTCCATTTGCTCTGTATTTAGTTTCTACTTCAAGAAAGAGTGGAAGACTGTATTTGCAGACACAAAGTTATCTGAAGAATGGATACAAAGATGATCTTCAAAAGAAAACAATGAAGAATTTGCAACTGATTTGAAGGATTTGAAAGTGTCCTTTTTCTGATGAAAATCAGTAAGGAATTGAATGCCTACTTGCTTTTACCAATTCTGAAAGCCCTCTGGCACAGAGAAAGAGCTAACAGCTTTAAACACACACGTAAAACCAGCTCCTACTCAAATCCTGACTGACAGCAGAGGGAACCCTGGAAAATAGTTTCTCCTTTATAGGTTAGCTTGAAAAACATTACTATTGCCATACAGTTCCAAAGAACATTTAAAGTAAGAGGGAGTCTATTTTCATTCTCTGTAGTAGATGGAAAAATGAAGGAAATTCTTGGTTACACTGAAAATCCTGTACGAAACAGGCAAGTTCTCACCTTTACAGTAATCATTTGGATCCTCTTGTTCATCATCATCTGATCCCAGGATTTCTTCCTCTTGCTCTGGAATATCATTCTCTGAATGAGCAGCAGGGCCCCGATGCTGAGTGTCGGGTCTGAAAGAGAACACACTGCATGTCTCACACACGTTACTCTTCAGTTCAGTAGATTTCATTTCACGTGAGGGATTGCTGATAACAGAGGAGATGCAATTATCAGCCTCCAGAAATCTATTTTCACATTTAAATGCTTTTACTCCTAACCTAGTATAAAAGTAGACACAAACAACTTTTCAGATACTAGCAAGAAATACAACTTAATGCCCTAGATTCATTTTTACAGTGGAACAAAAAAAAAGACTGGACAAGAGAGCAAGTTAAAAGCTTAGTAATCCACCAACATGTTACTGAACCCCTTCTCAGCTTTTCAGTCAGTGAGGACTTCTCTAAAGCAGATTTATATTTTAAGATGCTGCTGCATATAAAACCTGAAGATTTAAATGCTGGTTAATGTTATCTTAAAGACTAACATCAATTAATTTTTATTCCTTTGGAAAAAAATTAAACTGGTGTTTTAGAACTTGCTCCTGTTGTTCCTTTCACCTTTGAGATCAAACAAACATTTAATGATCCTTCTGCTTCTAAGACTTCAGAAATCTAAACCCCACAATACTGTGCTGGATTTCTCCTGCTCTCAGTGTGGTGGGCTGCATCCCTAGTCTGTCTCTTCACCAAAGGTCTAAAGTTGGTGACAGTTGTCTGAGCTGTGGTGAGTGGGAATCCACAAAGCAGATGTTCTGTCAACCCTTCCGAGAGCTTGTGACTGCAGATGGATTGACACCAGGCACCAAGGTGGTATTTTCTTTCCACTCCCACATTTATAAATAAAAACAATTTTGTGTGTTTAACTTTTGCCAAATGTGTTACTCCAAGTTCCTGTTTGTGAAGATCACATTGGCAAAGGCTGCTTCATTGCTCTCAAGCATTTTCGCTGTGGCTGAGTTACCTGAGCTAAGACATCCCCACATCCCCTGTACCCCAACTGCTCCTCCATGGTAGCACACCACTTACAGCCAAACAGCTCCTGAAATGATAATACTAAATCAGGTAAGTTATTTACCTTATGTCCTGGGTTCAGCATTACAGGGAATGTCTACAAAGTTTAATCTTCACTATCCTTTTGTTCAAAGCAAGGACATGAAAACAATGCCTACAGCCCATTTGCATTATCAAGGTTTCATGGAAAAACACTGCAGGATACCAACACTGAGCTTTTCTTAGAAGTAGGAGATATTAAATAAAGATGGAGTTGTCCAAAGAGGTGGGCAACACCTTTCTTTACAGCAATGGATGTGGATATGCTAATGCATGTGGGCTTTTGGATCAGTTCTTGTAACTTATAACCAAGTTGGAGCCCTGCACATCATATCAGGGCTGTCCCACTAATCTTATTCTACAGGACAAACTTAGTATTTAAATTTTGAGTAGTTATACGGCAGAATGAAGGTTCAGCATTTACCTACAACACATGCACTCTGCTGAGACTTCATACATTAAATAGATTGCTACACATTAAGGCTATGGCCATCTTAAATGTCTATGGAGCATAGAAAGGAAAAAAATCAGCATTCCAATCTGATCATAACTGAATTTGTAGCCATTTACAATCTGGAACTGAAGTTCATTAAAGCAAAGAGGAGCTACAAAGGCCATCCTGGGCACAAGTAAACCACTCACCACTTACTTTCAGTCTGTTGCAAGTCCTGCTGATACCTTAATTCAGATAGAGATAAGCAACACAGATTAGTGATCCTAAACCATAAAACAAGCCTGCCAGACAGTCCATTCACTGCTGCCAGGCTAATAAGACATATTAACCACCCTGTAGCTTGATCCAGCCTCAGATATTTAGTATTTCGACTTTCTGCCCCCCTGAGCCACAGAATTACAAGTCAGGGGTGGGTAAAAGGAAACTGGGGAGGAAAGGGAAGTCTTGGAGGTAAAAATGCTACTTTACAAGCTGCATGCCTTTGGGGACGACTAAACTACAAATAAAGTCAGACTGAAGAGCAGGCAGCAAAGGCAAGAAAGGCGCTATGGACAGAATGGTTGAAGGGGAGACTGGATGCTCCCTATATAACAGATCCTATGGACAGGGTAAAGTCAGGAGGCAGAATTGGATAGAAAGGAGGATTTAAAGGCAGTAGCCACACCCATAGCATAAGTAGTAAAGAGTATTTCTCCAAACACCATTTAAAGATTTTCACTTTTGTAACTCTGGAAGATCTAGGGGTTCGAGTGGATTCAGAAGAAAATTAATCTGAAGAACCACTGATGCAGATGGAAACATCAGGCCACTCTGCAGCCTGAGTGCTTTGCAATAGTAGTAATTTAATGCATCAAGGAAGAAGTTACTGGAAGCACTAAACCCACTCTCTCAGAAAGAGCTGACGAATCGTGCTGCTGACAGCCTTGTACCTGGCACACCCTGTAGTCTGCATCTGAGGCTGTCCTGGGGACCCAAAAGCATTTTACTTCTATATTATCATCTATTATACCAACTATGTGATAATGAGCCACATTCAGGTCACATACATTTCTATGGTGCTGTTTCCTTTATGAAGTCACCACCAAAACATGTCTCATTCCTTTCCCTCCCTGTGAACATTCATTAGGTGTTACTACATCCCACCACCTTTTTCCCCCCAAAGTGACCATGTCAACTGCAGAGACTTGAGCAGTGCAGAATGTGTTAATATCAAAGAAAAACAGATACACAAAACCACAACCCTCATCCATCTGCTTCCTCACACACACAGTACTCGAAAAGGCACAAAAGGCTGCTAAAGACAGCAGAAAAATCCTTACTCTGTATTCTAAGATGACAACTGAAACAGCTGCCAGCAACACTGCAAAATGCACATAAAATATATCAAGAGCCTAAAAAATGGTTACACATCAAAAAAATCAAGTGTTCTGGGGTACTTTCTTGCATAGCCATCTCTGTTCTACTTAAGAACATCTTGATCACCTTTTAGTTTTGCTCTCTCAATGTGCTATTTCATCATCAGAATTCACTGGATTTGCAGGGTCTCTCTACAAATATAGAGCAATATTTTACTTAAGGAAAACAAGGTGGAACAGCAATGCTACATCTTTTATGGAGTGTGTTATTCATATCTAACCACATCCGTATCTAGACCCTCCCAAAAGTCCTTATTCCCTCAGGAATGAAAATGAAGAAGTGCAAATTCATAAGATAAAGAAAAAAAACTGAAGAGGGTAACATACCTGCATGAAGCACGGCCTCCCATTGATAAAGATATTCCTGAAGACAGCCCAATAGTTTTGGAAAGAGCCATTAAAACCCAGCTGCCACACTGGTCAGGAAGAGGGGGACATCAAGGGCAGGCGGAGGGGCTGGTTCTTCTCGAACACAGCAAAGCTTTGTGCAAGAGTGAGGGAGAAGAGGGATTTGCCTCCACCACCTAGCTGCAGCTGCACAGCACTGCATTGCAGGTGAAGGGCCTTGCAGCAAGGCTGGGGGTTGCTCTCAGCTGATCTCCCTGCAAATTCAGTCATGTTAGGGGTTGAGCATAAAGAGATTCATCTCCTTCTCTTGATGTTTACACCCCGTCTCAATCTTCCCTCTAATGAAATTAGAAATTCAGTCAGATACTTCATTTCATCTTCCTGAACAGCCGGTTTTATTTGCCTATTCAAAAGTCCACTGCATTCAAAGCGTGGAGATGGAGACAAGGATCGTGGTAATTGCTGACGGTCCAACCCTTTTGATACAGGAATAAACAGCACAATCACACAGGAGAGAAAGGGCCTTCAAAGTAAAAATTAGTTTTCTGAAGTAATTCCAAACCTCCCCATCCAGCGTTACACACAAAACTGATCCTTTATGCTTAAAAGTAACAAAACAAGCAGGCGAAGCAGTCAAATCTTCCTTAAAAAGAATGTTTTTCACAGCATTAGGCACTTAACATCATCCTCTGATGTAAAAGAATTAACCAGCCATTTCCTGTGCCTGTTATCCTGATTTATGCAAGTGATTGGGGAAACACGTCAGCAACAACTGACATGGCAAGTAGTCATTTAGAGATTTTCCCTGCTGGGGAGGACTGTGTATTAGTGAAAGACACTGTGAAGCTGGCTCTGCAGTTTTAAACCAAGGAGAATTGGATTCATCTGATCGTAGATCTAGAATATTTTCACCTTAAATTAATGTTCAAGTTTCAGTGAGCTTTTAACAGCTTCACAGTGCCAAACATTAGAAGAGGTATTAACAACATGCAATATTTTCCACTGTAGACAAGATTTTGCTCCATGTTGATTGAATCCGTCACCTGACAACTCTGTTCCTCTCTGCAGCGCCCAGCAAGGATAGTAACAATTATTTGCAGGAACTAAGATTTCAGTCAGTTGCTCATTCCTTATAGGAAGTGTTCAAAGAGTTTGGGAAAAGGCTTTTGTATTCTCCTGCCAGTTTCCCACAGAATCGCTTATCTGGTCCACACACTAAAAATAAAGTAAAAAGCAATTGAGAACGATGTGTGTTCTTACAGATTTGCACTGAGGTAGATCCAATGGCAACAGGAGGATGAGAAGATGGGAGACCACAGTCATGCCTGTTAGTAGAGGCAGTGTAATGAAACGCAGTGCTCTTGGTGCTGTAGAGCAGAACCAGCACGGGCACCTTGGCTGCCTCTATAGATTACCAGTGAAGCCATCGCCATGGTCAAGTCTCCACATGCAGCTTCACCACCAAACTCAGAACTTGTTTTCTCCACCCTGATATCTTACATAAAACACTTGGAGAGGTGTTTCGTTCTCCTAGTCAAGAGCATTAAGATCGACACCTTCAAAACTCTATTTTGTACAGGAAGTGTTTCTCCCTGTCCCCAAAATGGCAGAAGTACCATCCATGCTACCTACCTACCTGCTTTGAGCACATACAAAAGCAGAGCCCCATCCACCTCCAAGCAAGGAAGGTAGCATTTAATCCAAACGGCTTTTCTCACACCAATCATACTTATATATGTGCTAACAAAAAAGATATTCTCACTCCTCTTCACCTCAGTTTCCTTGATACTCGCAGGGATGACGCCCGTCTGCTTTCCTAAGTGATTTTTAAGCCCCTGCAGCACAATCTTTACAAACACAGTCA